ACTTCTATCCACGATTGTAACTGGCATACAGACATTCATCATACATGTAAAGCTACTATTATGCTTGAATAATTTACCCAACTAACCTGTTGATGAAATCGTTTGTTGGAGAAGCTTTGATAAGGGTAGAGAGGAAATGGGGGTATTGACCACTTTAGTAAATAAATTACGTCATTATTATTGAGGAGAAAAAAAAAAGTCACGGCCGCTGATTTGTAAGGGCTATTATTTTATTCGTCGAACATTTGACGTCACTCATTATTGGTCACGCATCAGTACAATTAATACTATTATTTATGGTGCACTATAATTATTATTATAGCGATGGGATGCCACAAACAAGTTGTGTGTGTGTTACTATTATTATGACAATAATGCTTATTTTTGGCTACTGATTACGTATCTGTAGAGCTTTTCCAGATTTATCGCTTGCCTTGATGATTGGACTCATAATTCTTACAAAATGTCGTTGTTTTTCAGTATCTGACTCAAGAATTATTCAGCAAAGTAAAAAAAAAAAAAGATAGTAATATCGACTATTGCTACTTCGAGGTATTTATTACTATACCGTTAATAATAGTAGCAATAGTGCCCATACTACATAATATCAACTATACAGCAAGTGTTAAATTTGTCTACCAACATTTCGCAAAGCTTATGTATTTAAGTAACATTAAATGTTTTAATAATTTGAAGAGTTTCTATGAGAGTAATCGTTACTGATTAAGACACGGACAACTGTTGCGTTAAATGTAATGCTTCTCAAAAATATTATGTATAATAAATACTTACATAAATACGATTGCTGTAATGTCAAATTTTATATAACGTCCGTTAGATAGTGCATGAACGTTTATGATTTGTGGTAAATATATTATTTTGAGGAAAAGGGTGGATAAAATCACATATATTAGTTAATAATTAGTAAAATGTAGTAGTGTTATATAACGTGAACAAAATATTCACTCATGGCTTGAGGTTATGAAGATATATTGTTATTGATCGAGATGTGGGGAAGGAAGAGGGTTCATTTAAATGTTGCATCGCGCGCGTTTATTTACATGTAGTTTAAGAAAAAATGACAATTACGTGTTTGTATAGTTTACAAACGAGCGCCAGTGTATCAGTTGAAATTAAAAGTAAATCAACAAAGGCACAATTAATATATTGGCTATACACATAGTTATTCAAATTTCTGAAGCATATGAAAGTCAAAAACGATTTATAACTTCAACAACGATTACTCAGATTCAAACTTTTTACAGCAAGTACGTGTCCGATAAAATGGATTAAAAAGCGTGTGGATGCTTATTTGGTGTGATATAAATGAGAATGCATACAATGGCTTGAACGCTGGATTAGTCAAAAACTCAATACTTAGTAATCTAAATGCATAACAAAACGTTATTTCTAAAGATAGTTATTATCATTCAACCTTTGGTAAAATATAGATTCACCGAGTTTGCAGTTTACACAGTCGTTTTTATTCTTTCATTCGATTTACTTTTACAGTACAGAGTATGGTATATACGTTAGCGTCAAAGTTTAGAGCTTTGTACTTATAATGGTAAAAAGTTGCCGCCGTTAGTGACAAACAACGGTAAATAACATAGGAAAAGTGCACATAAACAGATAGCCGTTGAAGCACATAGTTAAAGCAAACGAACCAAACACCGAAAGTGCGATATTGCTCAAGAGTAAATTAATCGCTTCAAACATTAAAGCCTGCAACTTTACGTATCGACGGATAAATTGTGATTCGGGCCTGTTTTGTAATACAAACGGGAATCTCGATTGGGATGCAATTCTAAAATTTCTTACGGACATTAACAAACTAGATTTGGACAGCAGCTTAGATATACCATCACGACACGACGAATAACATTAAAGAGTGGGCACAAAATCAAAGCATGGGTTTCATAGACAAAGTTAGTTGCAAAGAGCTGTTGTGCTTAAACGTTTTAAGAGGTTTGATCAGACGCTGGAGTTATTTATTACCGAGGTAAGCAATTTTTACTTTAATTAATAAAATAATTGGTTGGCGTATACAGTCGAGACCGTTTTGAACAATTGGTATTGTAAAGGCAAACAAATTGACCAGTCGAAGTAACATGACTCGTGACTATTGTGTGAACAAACGTTTAATCATTTTTCCTAAAACCTTTTTCTTATTATAAAAATCAAGATAACTCTGTGCATCAGCATTTCCTTGTTCAGCTGCTTGTTGATATAATTCAACTGCCTTTCCAATATCCTTTTCTACTCCAATTCCAAATTTATAACAATCACCAAGATTATGCTGTGCAGCAGCATTTCCTTTTGCAACTGCTTTTTGATATAGTTCAACTGCCTTCTTAGCATCTTTTGTTACTCCAATTCCACTTTCATAGCAAAGGCCAAGACTATTCTGTGCAGAAGCATAACCATGTTCAACAGCTTTCTGGTATAATTCAACTGCTTTTTTAGCATTTTTTTCTATTCCAATTCCATACTGATGACAACGGCCAAGGTTATACTGTGCATATGAATCCCCTTGTTCAACTGCTTTCTGGTACAATTCAACAGCCTTTTTAGCATCTTTCTCTACTACAATGCCAAATTGATAGCAATAACCAAGATTACTCTGTGCAGCAACATAACCTTGTTCTACTGCTTTTTGATATAGTTCAACTGCCTTTATAACATTTTTTTCTATTCCAATTTCATATTGATAGCAATGACCAAGATTATTCTGTGCAGCAGCATAACCTTGTTCAACTGCGTTTTGATATAATTCAATAGCTTTTTTGGCATCTTTCTCTGCCCAAGTCCATATTGATAGCAAAGGCCAAGATTATTCTGTGCAGCAGGATATCCTTGTTCAACTGCATTATGATACAATTCAACTGCTTTCCTAACATTTTTCACTATCCCAAGTCCATATTGATAGCAAAGGCCGAGATTGTTCTGTGCATCAGCAGCTCCTTGTCCAGCAGCTTTTTGATACAATTCAACTGCCCTTCTAGCATCCTTCTCTACTCCAACCCCATATTGATAACAATGACCAAGATTATTCTGTGCAACAGCATAACCTTGCTCAACTGCTTTTTGATATAATTCAACTGCCTTCTCAACATCTTTTCCAACCCCAATCCCACATTGATAGCAGTAACCAAGATTACACTGTGCAGCAACATGACTGTATTCTACTGCTTTTTGGTATAACTCAATTGCCTTTTTAATATCTTTCTCTACTCCAATTCCATGTTGATAGCAATAGCCAAGATTATTCTGTGCAAAGACATTATCTTTTTCTGCTGAGAGTTGATACCAGTAAATTGCTTGATTGAGATTCTTTACAACTGTTATTTCATATTCATAAAAATAACCAATTAACCAGAAACATTGCCCACAATCAATATGGTCCTTGAGCCTTTTAATGGGAGAGTAATGCTGTTGATACCATCCATTATTTAATAACCAGTCTTTAATTGAGTCAGCAATTTGATCTTGACTTCTTCCTTTTAATAATTCTTCCCAGTATTTATTTGACAACCCATCAGAAAATGGATGTTCTGAAGCTGTTGCCAGTTGAGCTATCATGCATAATCTATCAAAAATCTGCTTGCAAGATGGCCTTTTTTCAGGAGTATCATTCCAACATTCTGAATACAATGTGATATATCCTTCAGGAGTCCCTGAAACTGGTGCATCTCGACCACCATTTAGTCTGTAAGCTACAATGTCGTGATAATACTGAAGTCCATTACATGGTCTTTTTCCGCCAGAGATTTCCCATAATACTACTCCAAAGCTAAATATATCCGACTTTTCATCACGCTTAGTAGAAGTGTCATATAAGCATCTGGTGTCAAGATATGGAAGCGTTCCTTTAACGTTTGAATGGCTTTTTTGTTGTAAAATCAGGTCTGACAACCCAAAATCTGTTATCTTAGCCACGCCGACATGGATCAATACATTATGTGAAGACTAAATAATCAAGTTATTTAATCATTACAGTATTTAGTAAAAACAGACCATTATTAACTGTACATCTGTAATTACCACATCTTTATGCAAAATACAGCACTCGTGAAGATACCCCAGGCCCTTAATGATGTCTGTGCCAAGCTTGCATCTCCTAGGCCAGTCTAATTCAACAGACGGATCCGATAAATAAGATCGTAACGAGCCGCCGTCGGCATACTTGAAAACCATTAGATATCTATTGAGCGTATCTATCAATTAAGTCTCTGTTAATATTCATGTCATATTTGTGTCGTAGATTCATCAATGCTAACCCTTGCTCACGCCAAGGAATCGAATTATGTTGGGATGATCGTCGACCTTGCGATGGATTTGAAGCTAAAAAGTGTTGTCTGGAGTATTTAAGTAGCGGTAAAGCAATAATATACCGATACGAAGTTGTCATTATGAATACTAACCTCTTTGACAAAATTTCCAATCATCTCGTCTTCATTGTCTGCATGGAGAAGTTTATAAGCGACCGTTCTACCGAGCGTCTTAACTTTTGCTTTGAAAACTGCTCCATATCCTCCAGCGCCGATGTATACGACATCAACAAAGTCCTTGAAAGAATAAAATCGAATGCTTCCATCTTCAATGTTCTTCCTTAACCATTCCTTATTATTATCGGAGACAATTGAGGACATGTTTTGTTGCTTTGTTATAATAACTTCTGTAAGTCTTTGCAGTGTAATCATTGACACGTGATAATCTGATCATTCCGGCAACATTCAAAACAATAGTGTGCTAATAAAGACCACAGAACATCGCCTTATAGCAGCATATAGGTCATAAATTCGAAAGTGTGGACTATGTGACTAGTTTTAGATTGACGATTGACTTAGAGTCACTGGAATAACATATTTATAACATTATAGCGTCATTCGTATATATTTTCCATATTCCGCGCCAGCTTAGGCTAATCCAATTGTCTCGCTACTTGTTAACTTTTTAATAAGGGATGACTTGTATGACAAACAGTCAGATAATTTACAATGAGCAGTGATATCCATCGACTTACAGGAAGTACCGTACTCGCCGATCGAAAGCATATGAGCAACAGTGTAGCAAATAACAAAAAAGCATTTATAGTTAGATTGATAAGTCAAATTAAATGAGCGTTCTGGGATTTGTCCATAAAAATCAACCGTTATGTCAACGGATAATAACGAACATATGACATGAAATGAATGATATACTTAAGGTGCGCGATCCTGTTTGTAGTCCCGACGACAGACATAGAATTTAGTGTTGCATTATCGCGACCAATTATGCAACAATTGTCAGGAACAGTTTTACTTTAAACCATAAATATGGTTATTTACCAAAATTTGGTCTTAACTTTACATGATTGTCCGACATAGAAAAGATTATGGTATATTCTCTACATTTAAAATTTACTAATAAAAAGTCTTTGATATGGTGAAACCTCCCCACCCTTAACGGCTTTTAACTGTATATATATATATATATTGATATCAGCTCGCCGACAGTCAATCGTATTTAACCGATTGAGAAAACCCAACTATATTACATAATGCTAGCCAATAAATGTGATATCGTTAAAATATGCAGACGTTAGTGTAGTAGATGTAGACAATGGCGTTGATGGCGTTAATGGCGTAGAGACGAGATTAACAGATATTAATTGTGAAGGAAATCCCTAGTCTGTAACTGATTGCCTGTCGTCTGAGACAGTGTTACAACAACTTGTTGAGACTGTGATATAGTTAATTGCGATTCACCGACCATAGGCTGTATGGATGTCATTGTGGAAATTGTCTGTCGAGTTTGTGTCATCGGAGTGGATGTGGATATGGATGCGGGTGTGGTACCTATACTAGAATTTCTCAACAAGCTCGTCTGACCATATGGATTCAGCACCATTTGTTGCAATTGTAGCTGTAACTGTTGTTGTAGTTGCGGATTCGTTTCATTATATGACGCATTCGAGGCTGTAAGTCTTATGATTTCCATTGCTAGTTTCACTTGAGACTGAGTGTCTGGATAATTTCGAAGAATATCTTCCACAGAAGCCCCGGTCATCATCGACACATATCGAACGTGTAATAAGCCGTCTGTTGCACGTGTTGGTGTATAGTATGAAAGCGACGGCCCCGAGTGAGGTTCGGCATGCGTAGCATTTGGTAAAACTCGTGTTGACGGTAATGTCTGTTGCTCCTGCATCATCTGTGATTGTGATGTCTGTGATTGTGATGTCTGCGATTGTGATGTCTGCGATTGTGCCGCCTGGGAAGCCTCAGCCGTCAACGTCCGTTGCTGCGGCTGCGAACTAGTTATTGTCGTTGTTGGGTCAGCTCCGACAGGCCTTGAAACGGATACTGATACGGGTGTTGGTGCAGATCCCGATACGACCGTCGACCTGGGTGCTGAAACGGGTGTTAGCGCAGGTACTGAAACAGATGTTGGCGCGGGTGCTGAAACGGACGTTGGCACGGGTGCTGGGGAAGGTACTGAAGCAGTAGACGTTGAAACGGGTGTCAGCGTGGACGCCAATGCTGGCGTTGTACCTAGCGCTGTGGTTGCTACTAGTCGGGCAGGCATAGGAGCTATAGGCACAGGAGCTGGCGTTGTCTTAGAAAGTGATTGAGCTGATTGCGTCGTCGGTCGAATTGCCGATGGCGCTGTTTGAGTTCTTGTTGGTCGTATTATCGTCTGCGGTTGTTGCTGTTGTGACTGCGGTTGTTGTGACTGCTGCTGTAATGACTGTTGCTGTTGTAATCTCTGCTGCTGCATTCGCTGTGTCTGCTGCAATGCCGGTCTTTGCGCTGCCGGCTTATCCACAAACTGAACAAGCATGGTTGTAGCAGACTCCACATGCTTTCCTACATGTCGAGCAAGCTCTATTCTTGTTGGAAAGGACTTGTCACACTTATGCCATTTGCAAGAGAAAGCTTGACATGTCGCGTTGGCAACCATTTGTGGAAAGAAGATATTTTTTGTCTCGAAATTCTTATTGCTGATCATATGACATTTATTTTCTATTGGCTGATCATGATGGTGTTAAGTTACTATTAACACGTGTATTAAAAACAGTTACTAACTATTTATAGTAAGAAATCTGGGGTAAATGAATACTTTAATTAAATAGAAAATCATAGTAACTGTACCACAAACTGAAAGAATATTGTTAAGAACCCCATGTTAATTGCAACCGTATTATTGGTTGAACTTCTATTCTAGGGTAAATATTATCTGTTGCGTATTACATCGTGAGTGATGATTCGATCATACTCCGGCTTTTATGCTAATATTGTGTGGGCGATTCAGATAATTAAATGTTACCGTTATAAGTGCAGATTCAACCTATCGTAATGGTTGGTCTCTGTATCAACTGAATTCATCGAGTTCATTTACTACGATGAAGATACAGGCAGCAAACGATGTTGTTATAACATGGTTCGAACTGTCATACGTAGTCATAAGTCTTTCTAAAACTGTGATACGTTCTTTTTTAGTCGCTAAATTTGCAACTCTTATTTAGTGATTCAGCTCTTCAATTAATAGAGAAATATATACATGGCAAGACTATTAGATTGCAGTGCTACGCAAACGTTTCTGTTCATACAAAGTGTAAAATTACTAGTCGACATCGATTCAATTGATTCATTCGCTACCTATGCTTAATGGCTACTGAAATAATGATATGGTAAAGGGTTTGGTCAATAGCTTCACTTGCAATAGTATGGCGCAAGTTGTCAATCAAGGATATTTAAATCTTGATACAAATTTCACATACGTATTATAACGGACTTTCAGTCTTTCAATCCTTCCAAGGCTAATGCTAGTACAGTCATTGATACAGCTTCTGGTTCTTCCTCTTCGATGACATCAACCTCCCTATACTCGGTAGTCACATTTGCAGGAGGTTCTAACAGATTACCCAAGAGATCTAATAACAAAATCGATAAATAACACCGTCTATAGGGAGAATCGTTTCGCAATCCCAAAAAAAGACTCACCCCTATCTCCTTCGCCGACACCTCCAACTGGTTTTTTTGTGGTTTTCTGAACAATCCCTGGGTCCAAGAACTTTAGTTTCAACGTAGGATGCTTAACAAAGTCTACTCGTCCACCCCACAGCCAAGTAGGTATAGTGCAAGGGATTTCTATCTCTGCAGAAAATTTTTCAACGAATTCATTTTCCTCGGACGAGATTACTCCCCCGCGAAGGAATCTATTTGAATTGCAAATAGTTATTTTCTGCAATCGAAATAAGAAACAGCCGTATACCAAAACCAAAGTAAGACTCGGGGCAACCCCAAACTGTTTGAAGTTTAAAGAGGCATTTTATAATAAGTCAAGGATAAAGTCCTGACCTTAAAAATTCTCCCATGGCCGATGGAACGCTCCACATTTGCAGTTTTCTTAGACATGCGATTACTAAACCGGTAACATTTGCGCCATCCAAGCAATGTACATATATTGGTTGGTTTTCCGGATCTATTATTATCTTCATGATGAGGACATGAGAAATTCCTGAAGTGCATTGATGTATCAAACGTTGGGTTGACATAAAAGTAAAGAAATAGTTACCTGAATTGCTTGAATCGCCTTGCTATAGCTCAAGGGAACGTTATCTTTTACTTTATTGACCTGAAGCGTTATATTTTTTATGTTATATTCTTTGCAGAAATCAACAAGATCGCCAGCTGGTGGATTAGGACATAATGAAAGGATTGTTTTTAAGTGGAGTCTACAATGGTTTCAAGCAGTATTTTGTGAGTAAAACTCTTCGACCGAGCATTTCATTCCATACACGATGCCAGGCTGTTCTCTCATTCATTCTACCGTTTTAAAAATCGTAGGTTTCTGCTTTTGGGATATGCACCGCGATACACTTCACCCTCGACAATGGCATAACGAAAAGGTGGAATAAGCGGAGGGAGCATGTTAATTAGATCTTGTATAATCCACTCGCCAAATATCAAGATTGCGTAACACAAAGACATCATTGGGGAGTGTCCATCACGTATGGTAATGGGCGCAATCAATTATGTGGCTTTACATAAATCAGTATGTGGCTTCAAAATTGGTGTGTCTAAGGCTTTATGATTTGAAATTATCGTAATTTCTCTGATATTGTTGTTATTCACATAAAGTATATTTCCATCGCCATCACCTGGGCATGTTACTAACTTCTTTCGACTTTTCCTTGATACTTATTC